ATATATATATATATATAAAAAGAACATATCATGTTAAGGTAGATGAAAGATTTAAATATCATTTTAAAATAAAAATTAATGGTTTAAACTAAAACGCAATTATAAATACATTAATAATATGATTTTTATTTTTTTAGTAATTATGTTATTAATCCAAAGTATTTTTTCCTTGAGGTAATGAATAATATTTGTTAGAGGCCGTGAATGCATATAAAGTGAGTATTATTCTCTTAAAATAATTTATTTCATATTCAAGATTAGGATTATATTCCTTAATAACTTAGTTAAAAGACACAAGTTATTATCACTTGGACTAACTAATTTTATCATCTCTATAACTACCATCATCACCATTGTCACATTTATCGTTATCGTTGTCGTCATGTAACAATAACAACGATGGTGACGATAATAATGACAACGATATGACAATGACAATTATTATGGTTATGGTAGCGACATCACCACCAACACCTTACATTGTCACTACTATCAACATCATTGTTATTGTTATTATTATCATTGTCATTGTCACTACTATGACCATTGTCACCACCACGTGGTAATGACGGTAATGATGGTGATGATGGTGGCAACAACGGTGGATGGTGGTGGTAGTTATAGGGATAGTAATAATAATGATTTTATATGTGAATATTTATAAGGAAAAATTGTTATAACTTTTCTTGAGGTTTGTCAAAATGACATTACCTTTCTTCTAGTTGACATCCACCTCCTTTATTTTATAAGTTAGCTTTCACATAACACCCTTTTTCATAATATTAATTCATTTGCATGTTAAAACTTATTTGTTTTACTATTTTAATTTTTTCCTATGATTGAAAAAGTGCACGGGCCATTAGTGTCATATTTCTGCTCTTGGCTTCATTTCATTGTAACATAGTATAAATATAAAAAGAATGCCATTTTCTAGTAAATTGTACAAAGACACAAGTGATTAATTATTCACATCTAATCCTATCAATCATATTGATCATCCGCAATTAAGTTCAAGAAACTTAAATAACTCTAGATGTATCAATTAAGGATATGACTTTGTAGTCCTAACAATACATTCTTCTGTCAAATATATCAAAACTAACAAAATAACAATTATGCAACATTTATGAAACTACATTTTTGAATGTATAAATTAAAAAGAAGTCAACCTAAAAAGAATTGCTAAAATAGATGCACAAATGGATAAAAAAAAATGGTGAATAAAAAAAAACACTGAAAATAAGAGATAATTGTGAAGAGGGAATTTGTTACAAATGAGAAAAGTTATGCATATTAAAGATTTATTATTTTTTACTTGACCAATTTTTTTAGTTTAATTTATAATTTAACTAAAGTTAAATAGAATTAACATTAGGAAATGTCTTTGTTTTTAAAAAATTAGAGGATAATTTATGCCATTTGGACAAACTTTAGGAGGCGTAAATGCAATTTTTTCATTTAAAATACTTTAGATTGAATATAACTTAATAAAATTATCAAATTTAAATTTTAAACAAAACTAAATAGATAATAAATTAATCAAGATGAATCCAATCCAATTAAAAATATGTAAATGCAATTTTTTCATTTAAAATACTTTAGATTGAATATAACTTAATAAAATTATCAAATTTAAATTTTAAACAAAACTAAATAGATAATAAATTAATCAAGATGAATCCAATCCAATTAAAAATATGATGGTTGATTTATTGGTGAGTTGGGTTGAAATCACTAGAATATGGTAGAAATTATATTGAAAAGTGATGAAATTGAGTTTTTATTATTTTATAGAAGAATTTTAGGGTGAACCACTTATAGGTGATCCACTACCCATCACAATTATTAGCCTTTTGATTAAATAAGGTGTAGATTGTTATTGTGAACTCTCTACACCATAACAAATTTTCTTCTTCTTCTCCTTTGCTTGTCCTAATCATCACAAAGCATCCAACAGAGGGATACTCACTTGCTTCCTTTTAATAAAACTTGCAAATGAAAAATCAAACTCGCATAATGAAAGGAAATTAACAAGTTTTGTGGTCGTTATAAATCATCTCCAACAAGAGTGCATGGTGATAAGTTTTTGCATAGAAGAAAAGATGACAAGATATAGAGCAAAGGATATAACTCAATAACGTATGTCTCAGATTATTATAAAGGATAAAATTAGTGAATCACAGTACTTCAATTGTAAAAGTGATTTGTCTTTAACTTTTTTTTTTTTTTCCTTTTTATATGCCATTTTTATCCGGTAAAATTTGGCCTTTAAGAGAAGGAAAATTTAAATAATTCCAAATGCATAGTTTGTCCGACAGGTGAAATAATTGTGTTGTGGGGCACTGATTTATCTCTCCTTTGGCATTTATTTGTCCATCTCCCATCATAATAATTTGACTTTTAAATCAAAGAAAATGATTGAATGGATCAGCAGAGAAGAGACCATAATTAAGCAGAGTTAGTCTTCGGACTTCCTTTTTTTTCTAATTCTTTTCCAACCACGCGCTTTTTGTACTGTTCCATTGTTTCTTTGAGGGTCTATCCACTCTTCCTTATCCACTATACTTCATTTGTCTTTCACAAGGCTTATTTGATCAACGTGATCACTTCAAGAAATTATTTATCAAAATGGCATCTTTTAAAAGTATTTATCAATTTGGTGTGTTCAAATTAGTAATTTTTTTTTTTATTTCATGCCAACATTTTATTTTAATCGATCGATCTTCACGTATATATGACATACACGAGAAGGTTAAATAGTATTATATTTTTAATTAGTCTACTTTCACGTAAATATAACATACATGTGGAGGTCAAATAATGTTACATTTTATCTTCTACTGAAAAACTAATTTTTCATTAGTGTAACATTTTTTTACTTAAGGTAACACACACGGTATATATGATTTGTCTTGTGCTAACATGTCTTTTACAAAACTAGCCTTAAATTAGCATATATTTTTTTAGTGAAACTAGTGTCTATCATGTCTCAAGTTAGCTTCATACTAAAAGATGAGAAAAAAAAATATTACACTACCACATGAGAAGCTAGCTTTTCACTAGAAGACAAAAAAAGAAACACATGTTGACCTTCACATGGATGTCATTTAAAGAGAAATCGATAAAAATAAAATAAAAATATTGATGTGAATTTAGTGTTGACCATATTAGATCGGTAAATAGTTTTAT